TTTTTGGGCGATGACGGATAGGCAGAGATGACGGATAGGCAGACGGTTGCAGCACGCAGATTCCCATGGGAAGCCAGCGCTCGAAGGCGGGAAAGGACAAACCCTACAGACTTGATCAAAACGAGACGCGTTCAGCAACCATCTAGAAACAGTTCAGGTCCCAGGTGGTTGGGCTAAAAGAATACTACCTGAACATCACAATCCCTTTAAAAGGACCAAGTTCATTTGATTGGGGGATCTCCCTTTCGACACACCCAGTTGTTGGTCTTTCTGCATTTCGGACTCAAAAGCTGCTGCAAGCGGTGCATGGAGGTTACAAAAGAGATCTCAACTGGTCAAACTGAGGGTCGATCCTGCTGTGGTTGGCTGGAGGATCTATAGGTACGAACTCAGATCGACATGACCTCCTTTGGATCATTCTTTGCTCCCAAAGCCGGGGCTTCGTTCACTCCAGTTCGGCTCGCAGCTCCACGTCGCCCCGCGTCTGCAGGGGCACATCGACGCCTACGTGTGGTCTTCCGGCTTCGATGAGAGCATGCCGCTTGGCTGGGAGGAGGAGGCGGTGGGTTCGAACTGCGGCTCGGTGGAGGCTGGACCTGTTGATGTGACCCGTTGCAGGGCCTTTCTTTTAGTGACCAGGGCCACCAGGCGGTCTAAATGGTCACTGGGAAGCGCCAGGATCTTTTGGGGGAGTCCAAGTGGATCAATTTGTTGAAAGAACTGGGAGGTGACTCAGCCAGGAGGTTTTTGGATGACCCCCCCAAATTGGACCCACCCGCTGAATCCGCTTCGTCCGGTTCTCACAGGACCGGGAGCCGAATCCTGTCGTCCAAGTGAGCACGTCCCGGATCCGGCGATGTTTGGGCGCCCGAGTCGACGATGGGGTGCCCGAGTCGAGTCGAAGGAGCCCAAACTCGGAACTTCGACGAACAACTCACCAACTACTCATCAACTACTCGTAAGTCGTAATCCGCCACCAGTTTGGGGTAGTTCATGAGTCATTGTCCTCGACTTTTTTCCCCCCCCAGGGCTCTAGACCTTCCACAACATGGGGCCACTTCAAAAAGACTGAATCCTGAAAGCTGCTTGCTTTTTTTGGCCGTAGATGTTTTGACGCACAGCCCTGGCTTGCAAGAGCAAGCCAGGGCTGGCCTCGACCAGAACGGCCTTTAACTTCGCAGAACACCGGTTTGGTGGCGTAGTCGTTGAACCAACATGGAACGCACCAGCTGGCTTTGGCACTTCTTCGTAAAAGAAAGGCACATGGTACGCCCAGAGAATGCTTCACAGTACGGCCATTTTGGATCACCAGCCGTGAGACCGGAGCGGATTTTGGTCGCTGCACACCTCAGATCGGGTTCGAGCACGAGTCTTTTTTTTCAGACCGGTTTGGCATGTCAGAAGGTTTTCAGAGGGTGGCACAGACCTGGTTTGCTCCAAGATCTTTACTTGCCCGTCCGGGCTCCTGGCCTACCTCAGAAGATTGTGAGGGTGGGTGCCAGCCACCGAACCTGAGGACGTGGGCCAGGAGCGCTAGGGTTGGACGGTCTACCTTCCCTGAAGACAAATAGAAGGCATAATCTTTTCATTGGAACTTGTTTTTTTGTAGTCAGGCAGATTCAATCCCAGGAGTAGTAGCTCCAGAGGATGCACCAAGAGGTGCTCGTGTGGGGAGGGGAGGTAGCACATGCTCGCGCGAGGTGCGCCTGGCATTCGGACCGCAGAACTTCCGGAGGCCTTTTTGCCAGCCCAACCTTTGGAACTTCTTGGGCTGTAGATTTCTTCCTTCCATGTTCTCTGTGGCTTCTTTCACCTTCCAGGTGCCCCTTTTCTCTCCCCGAGGACCGTGGGCGACTGCCGAAAGCAGTGGTGGCCGATACCTTACTCCAAATGGTCTCCGCAGTGCAAACCAGGTCCGACGGAGCGAAACGAGACGCCTACGCACGCGTTCGCGTTCGGTTCGTGTCGTAGGTGCGCGAGTGAGGGGAGGAGGTGTCTGGGGAATCGATCCGCTCCAGACCAAAGGCCAGGTACCTTCGGTCCCCTTTTGACCCGAAAGCCCAAAGACCCAACCCTTAAACCATATTATTTGGAGGTGGGGGCCCCGAAGTCAAATGACTCGCCCCCCCCTCTTTCTGCCAGGAATTTTTGGAAGGCGGGAGAAATCTGAGAGAAATGGAGGGGGCAGACTGAGTGGATTTTTTCCGATGAGTTTGAGCTTGGAGAAAAGGGCTCGAACTTCCAGAATTCCTCGGGCAAAAGGACTGTCAGACTGAGAGGGAGGGACCCAGCGCTAGCGCTAGCTTGGGGTGGCCTTCGTCGCGTCTGCCGCTGCTTTCGAAACGAAAAGGAGTTCGGTGGATCTGGTCTTGGAGTGTAAAACCCTTAGCAAAACCAAAGCTGTTTGCTAAAGAACCGTTACATCAATACGTGGTTGGAATGTCCTTCCAGGTTCGGGACATAGACCAGTGTACCCAGTGCGATCGGGGTGAGAGATATTCGGGGTTTTCCCGGATGTTGTAAAAATAAGGGTGTCAGGCGGTTTCTGATGCTTCCTGTATACCAGAGGTGAAGATCTTATAAGCTCCCATGAAGATGTTTACCATATACTGGATCTTCCAACTTTTCATGCATAAAGAACAGCCAAGGTTGGCAGACATTTGGCATAGTTGGAAGATCTAGGTATGATGTTTGATACATTCCTATATGAATACACATCCGTGTGTCGGTTCCATGCGTCACCCATGGTCCTCGCGCTCCTTCCCTGGTCCTCCGGTTCCCTGCGTCTCGGCCGTGCCGAAACTAGTGCCGTGCCTCAGCCGAAACGGGGACCAGGTCGAGCGCAGATGCTGATGGGAAATTTGAGTGAATGCAAACAGGCGATGTTGGAGTATGAGATGGATACCTTGACGCTTGGAATGGAAGGAATGGATACCTGAATTCATGAGCACCTTCATGAGCCCATAATTACGGGCACCCTGCAGACCCAGAATAGAAAGATCAGGTTAAGACCCATGCCATCGACGGATGTCCTGGAAGTGTCCTGGCCCGGGGCCGCAAATCCCATCCTTTTTGCCGCTGCACACGTCATAGGACCGGCCTTTGGACCCAGAATCGGAGTGGCGAGCCAGGGTTGGACTGCCTGAAGGATCCGGGTGTGGTCCGGGTGGACCGTGGAGACGCTTCTCACCTCCACCGTCCCACCACGGTCCGCGCGCGTCGCGCCGCGCGCCACGCGGCCCGTGGTTCGGGCGAAGGATCTTCGAGCGGGGCATCTGCGAGCTCTTGACGCCGCTGGGATGAAGCCCTTCTTTTCGCGGCGTGACGACGACGCCCGAAGTCGGCCCCTCTTGGAGGTGGGGAAAGAACCAGCAAAAGCACGGTCCCCCAGTTCGGCGATTTTTGTGTTGGGGGGGGATCAAGTGAATTCGAAGGATATTTTTCAATATCGGGTCACCGAACGTCTTCGAGCATCGTTTTAAAACCGTCGACGGGATTTCTTAAGTACCCAGTATAGTATGACCACGACGTTAGGCCAATATGTCTGACTCTATGCCATCGGAAACGACGATCAAACGAACCACATGGCGGTTTGATTTTAGGCTCCAAACCCGTGCACGAGCACAAGCAAGCAATCGCCCCCCCTTTTTTGCCTACATCGTAGGTGGTACGCCAGGGCAGTCGACTGCGGTGGGCAGTCGAGGACGTTTCAATGCTTTCTGTTTGGTTCAAACATTTCCAGCTACCATAGCTTCATATAGCTGCCATCTCAGAATGTTGCATTGACAACACTAAAGAATAACCAAAACAGTAATTCGTCATCAGCGAACATCTTCCCCTTTTTGCGACCAAGACTGGCATGGCCGGGTCTGGGTGCCGCGTCGGCCGACCCATCGCCCAGGTGCCCCACGAAGGAGGCCACGGTGTCGCTGCTGCCGGGCACCGCGTGGGCGGTGAAGGCATCCAAAAGGCAGGTCTTCTCAACGTGGTGTACGGAGGTCTTGTGCCTTGGCTGGAGGCTGGCATGGGGTGACGTAGACAGTTGATGAATAACACCCCCTACTTGGGTTGAAAAAACCTCTTCATTTGGGAGTTCCATTAATCAACAGTCGAATGGATAAGGAGAAAATGGAAGGTAAGGTTCCTACAGCAAGTTGGGGACTTCATGGCAATGCAGACTCTTGATTAAAAATGTTTTGCGCATGAAGACATTTGCCCATGTCTGGGGGTTCATTGATCAAGAGTCTAAGTTGGGATAAGCAATTGGGGACTTTAGGACTTCATGGTATATAGTTGGAGTAGTCGTGAGCATAAATTTAAATGGGTCTTCTAGCTCTTACAGTGGACACCTGGCATTGGTTATAGCTTGGCCCCAAACCATCCCCTCAAAGAATGTGCAGTCTGATATTTTTTTCACAGTGACGGCTTGCAAACAGTGGGACGAATTCGACCTCCCTCCAGTGCATGACCTGACCTCAAGACATGTTGCTTAACTTGAAAGAAGAACAACCATGGAGAAACAAGAGCCGTGGATGTGAAATGGTACCTAGCTCATTCAAACATCTTCAAGCTATAGATCTAGAAGTGTTTCTTGTCTCTGACTGCTGGCGAGGGGCCATGCACTGCATACGCCCTAGCGAAGACTCGGTGCAGCGACTCGGTGATGAAGAACTGGACATTCAGGTGGTGGGCGTGAGCGGAGACGGATTCCAGGTCCGAGTGCCCAAGTCCCTGACTTGCTCTGAGCTTCGAAGAATTATCCGGGATCGACTTCCGCTGAAAGCTGGAGCAAGAGTTGTGGTGATGAAAGGCTCTCAGAAGCTTTCACTATCGAAGACTCTGGCCCTACGCCTATGAGGTGGCCAACCTGCAGGAGGCTTGGAGATGTGTCCAAAAAGTGCCCAGTTGACGATGAGTCGATGGCTCTTGAGGGGATACGGCAGCTACAAGGGCTGCAAGAAACAACTCCGCTCAGGAACCTTGTCACCCTCAAGCACCTTGCCTTTGGCATTGACTTCAACGAGAGTTTGGAGGGAGTGGCTTGGTTTAGCGGCCTTCAGAGTCTTTCTTTTGGCAAGTTGTTGGCCCAGCGGCCTTCAAAGCCTTTCTTTTGGCAAGTTGTTCAACCAGAGTCTGGAAGGTATGGCTTGGCCCAGCGACCTTGAAAGTCTTTCCTTTGGCTGCGTGTTGAGTCTGGAAGGAGCGACATTGCCCAGCGGCCTTCAAAGTCTTTCCCTTAGCGGCTTGAGAAAGAGTCTGGAAGGAGTGGCTTGGCCCAGCGGCCTTCAGAGCATTGCGTTTAGTTGGTCCGGGGCCCTCAAGAGAGTGAATTGGCCGAGCACCCTTCAGTGTTTGGTGGTTTGCGGCCCGAGATCGGAGGTTGTGAAAATGGATCTTCCCTGGGGTTTGCAAAGGTTTGAGTGCAAGTTCCAGGAGGATGAGGAGGAGTGGGTGATCTCCACAGTGGACAAGAAACACGGCTGCCAGTGACCAAAAAGAGTGCTGCCCGTTTCTTTTTTTCGTTCTTCTGCGCCTCAAGCGCTTGGGGGACTGCCATCCTTTCATTTCTAGTCGTTTGTAGATCAGAAAGAAACTGTTCGAAACGACCCCGGGACCATTGAAACTCGACTGCACCGGGACCACTGGCCGTGTCCGGCCGGAGGTGTTCCATGCGACGACGGACCCGGGCCCCCCGGATGTGGGGGCTGATCCCTCCCACCGGTTGATCCCTTCCCGCCGCGGCCCGGGTCTGAGGTACGCGAATATGCCTCAGAACCACACCTTCCTGGGCGGCTCTGGATTGATCATACCGAAGAAGGCGAGAGTTTCTGCCACTTGTGGCTGTTGCAAGTGGAAGTGTTGGCCGGTTTTGTTGAAGTCGATTGTTTGATATGGCGGGTCCAACCGCCAGACCAGGGTAGCTTGACCTCCTAGTAGTCCGTTCCTTTTCTCTGGTTAGCCAAGGGACCCCGGTTTTGATCCACATCCATATGCCAAACAATTACTTATTGCATTTTAGCTCCCTGCACCTGCAGGGACACCATGGAAAGGAAGAAAAAGTCACATCCCAAGGAAGAACCGCCTCCAAGAGGTCTTCTTTTCAGAGACGTCATAGGACTTGAGAAGTTTGAGTTCTGGTCCTGGTGTATACTTTAAAGTTATATTTTGAGGCGCAGCCTCGAACCAATATGGGGTTTTAATTGGCCCAGATGGATATTGCATGGATATGCCAGTTACCCTCAGGTTTTTGGAAGGCACCACTTCTACTATACCCCATACACTCCATGTATGGTATATATGCCTACATTGACCCCCCCAAACCACCCCATACATGGAGCGTCTGGGTACGACTTCCAGTCAAAGTTCGTGGTCCTCGAACTGTAACGTTTTGGAGCGGTAATGCTTATGGTGGTTGGTTGGCTTTCAGAGTTCCGTAATCGTGAACATCGGCTACCGGCCGTGGTCCTGGGATTGGATTTTCCTTGTCACGTGGAACCTTTCCGGTGTGAGATGTGAAATTCGATGGTCGTTGCCCAATGGGCAGGAACGGGCATTGCCAGTTCATTTGGCTCACTCCTCCATGCCATTGCTCGCATGGCTCCGAGCATCCGTTGCTGGCGGTCTCCTCGTCCGCTGGACACCATCGATCCTAGTCGTCTCGGTGGGCAATCTTCGCCTCTTCCTCTTCGGGTTTTCCCGGGGCGTGGGGGTTTCTCCCGAGCGTTCCGGAGATCGTTTTTTTTCCCCCCCAAAACCATGGGCGCCCAGTGGGAAGAAGGATCACCAACCAGAATCAAAATGAGTGGAAGAATGATCCAGTCTAAAGCAATCTCAAGATGATTGGCACAATGGATCAAAAGGATCAACCGCAAGAGGCCTCACCAGGATCAAATCCAAATCTGTCGGTCGCCAGGCAGGAGACCGACATAACTGCCACAGGCTCGACGTGACCGAGGACAAGGCGAGGAGACCTCCTCCCAACGAGCGTGACACTGGTGGATGGCCTCTTCGTTGGGTTTTTAACGTTGGGTGACTTCGATGGACTCGAAGTTCTGGGAACACCCAGACGCTCCGTTCACAGGCCCCCCTCAAAACCACAGGGTTTGGTGAGAAGGTCCGGACCCCTCCAGAGGATTCGGGTACGGCCCCTACTTAGGAGGGTCCAAGGTCGCGTCTGGGAAGGACATCTTGGGGTAACGAACGTGCCTTCAAACCTCATAATTAATCATACATCCTTTTTAAAAACAACCCCACGACCTCTGAAGGTAGGGACAGGGGAGCGTTGAGGCCCAGGCCACGACCTCGATGGTGTGAAGGGACAGTCTTGTATAGGGAGTCTTGGATCTTTGACCAAGGTTTGTATTTCTTTCCTGGACACCTCCCCATTTGACTGACTTCGTTTCCCCAGGTTCCCGGCAGGTTCCGTTCGTCCAGATCGCTGAAGCCCTTCGTGAGCTTGGGAGAAACTGAGTGCCTTGGACAGGTCCAGACTGTGAATGCTCATCTTGTTGGTTTGTGGGCAATGCTTACTCGCCAGGTTCATGCTCGTGTGGGAAAACAGTGGAAACCTCATGAAACCTCGGGTCCTTCGGTGATCGGGTCGCTTCCAGATCTTCCCATCGACCTCGTGTGCACGACCCGGTCCGGCCAGATCTGCCTGCGCGAGAAGGAGGGCTGGAAAATCATCTTAGAGCTCAGCGTGCCCCGGTGTTGGGGTTGGACCGATGTGGCGCTTTCTCCCTGAGCGGTTGGAGCGGGTTCAAGCAATGGGCATTCCTTTTTTTTTCAATGAGGTGCAGACACTTTTCTCCGACGAACCGCGGGAATCCAATATGGAGAACAAGTGACGCCTGGAAGAGAAGCCATCGCTTCGCCACTCTTCCTGAGCGGTGGATCTCCACCGCATATTTTCTTTCACCCTAATGAAAGTGCAATGAACCTGATTTGTTCTTGTTGATACAGCACATTTTCCAAGGCAAGGAATGAAAGCTAAGGTGAGAGTGGGGCACAGGAGCATATTTCGGGGACCCTGAACCTAAGTGACTACGCCATATAATTTTGCACGGAGTGCAATACTTGGATCCTGCAACTCCAGCTATGCAAAGTTTCTGTCCTTTTGGCTGGTTTTATGGATGAAGAGGCATTGGAACATATTGTAAAGTCGATTCAACACATGTAAACACATTCCAGGACCTTCCACAGGTGACTTCCACCTGCGGATGTGTGTTGTTGTGTGACTTCCAACGACCGAAACCCACCTAAAAATCATCCACGCTAAAAGGTAAAGCATAAGGCCACGACATCAAGATGCCAGTCCCATCAAACCAAGTCATTTCTTTTTTGTGCAGGAAAAAGAGGCTCCCAACCCTTCCCTCTGTGGCGAGTGAGAGGCGCTCCCGCGCGCTTTTTGTAGCGCGCACGCGCACGCTCCGGGGGCCCTCGCTGGTTAGCAGCTAGCGCTGGCGCTAGCTGCTGGCTGCCGTGGCTCTGAGGACACCGACAAGCCCTTCATGAAGCAAGCCAATCTGCTGAAGCAACAGAGGCGACCGGCCGGTCGGATGGACAGCAGCGATGGACAGCTGCGTGTGGATGGGAAGGTTGAGATGAAGCCAGAAGAATGGAGGTTTCAGTGGATCTCAGTGGAAAGGGGGTATTAGTTGGCAGGGGTTTGTGTGGTGCAAGATTTCGCCCAACAGTACCACATGATTCCAGATTTCGTGGTTAAACCACTGACGCAATTCTGCATGGGAGGCGGACGAATCCGACGAATCGGGTGTGTGGTTCACTCCAATTGTTTGGTCATTGTCCTCCCTTTGGACATCAAAGCAGCCCACCGTCCGACTATCCAAAAGGTCAAAGAAATGGACGACACTCCCTGGAACAATCACTGGATGACCATGAAATCCTTTACAAAGAGCTGGTTTTCATCACGAAAGCTAGCATGCTAGCTGAGTTCTTCTTTGCTTTAGCAATGTTGTGGTGGGAGGGGCTGCGTGCCTTAAAGATTGATATATCAAGCTAACCCCCCCCCCCCCCCCCCCCCCC